CCTGCTGAAGCCCCAAATTTATCGGGAAAGGTGGTGTCTTATTGAAATTTATGTCCAATACAAAAGTCCACTGCCCCGCCTCAACTCAACTCATTCAGAAGATACAGACATTTTTTTTATTTGAGAAGATGGCACTCACCTGGCGGCTCACCTGCTGTTAAGTTATAACCGCCGCTCATTGAAACTTGCAACACTCGCAAGGTTGCCGATGCGTTGCCACCTTATAATAAAGTGGGCCCCGGCTACCTCACTCACCAGACGAAACGAAAAAGTATATGAGACACCTTCACTTCACGCCGGTCTTGTGTTTAGGTCATTCGTGCAACAGCCAAGGCTGTTGCGTGGCCTTACCACACTAGCACCTTTTCGCGCGAAGGGGTGATTTTAAAACAATTGTACCTGTGCGAAGGGATAGGACGATTGTCGTTAATCCCCAACGATTACGTTAGCTCAACCGTCGTTTCAAAACGGTATTTACGAGATTCGCCCCCGCGGATCTCGACGTCGATCTGTAAACAAATTTGCGGAACATTATTCGCGCGCCGGGGGCCGAGGCGCCATGAATACGCCCTGCGAAGGGGTGGTGCTACATTAGGGCTTGAGGTTCCCGATTCATGGGGTTAAGACGGCCGTCTCGAGGTCTAAATGCATGGGGATGTAGATTTACCGCGATTGCCGACGATTTATTGTGCCGCACAGCTGATGTATTCGCGAAAATTTATTCATACACACGAATGGAACAAGCAAATCGATAATATTTTGAATGAATTTTGTCCTTCTTTGACTGTCTTGTCTGTCTTTGGACTAGAGGTATAAATTTAGATCATTGTGTAATGAAAATTGTGCATAGATCTATAAATTATTTGCCGAAGATGTTTTTTTTGTCGGAAAACCTCAACTTCAATAATTCGTAATCATACAACATCACAGATTTGACGAAAAATAGACGATTTTCATGAAAAAGAAAATCGTTTTATAACATGTAAAGAACTAGTGGACCCGATAAACGTGTTCCTGTATACACGTCTTAAATCCGTTTTGAATAAGTTTGTGAATGTAAACCATTGTCTATTCCACTTGAAAACACACACAAAGTTTCAGCAAAATCGGTCGAGCAGTTTAAGAATTCTGTCACATACCTGCACGCACAGAAGAATTATATGTATAAATATGTATGACACTATATATTGACAACTTCTTTAAATTAAAATAACGAAGCAGACTGAATTTTTATTCTTATTCTTAAAATAAAGATACCTTTCATTGATAAATACCTAATTGAACTTGAACTAATTATTATTTTACAGAACCATTCGGTAAATATTGTGTCAAAATTTCGCCCGGCTCAACTGATATTATTGATAATCATAAAGATATTCATAACACTTATACAGAAACATGAAATAACATTTTATTGTTATTGTATTTTTCCTCTTTTTTGTGTGTTGTGTTAGTTCGGCGGCTTTGACAGCTTCGGCGGAAGGGCAGACGAGCAACGGACTCGGGGGAACAACGTAGCTGGTGCACGACGACGACTAGAAGACGTCCACTCCGTTGCACTCGGCAACACCCTGCTAACGGAAGATCGACAGTCGACTAACAGGGAGGGCAGAGCCATTGCGTCTGGGGATTGAGTCGCGATTTCAACCATCTTCCTTCCTCTGGGTAGGTCCCCTCATCGATTACGACCCAAGGGGCCCCTCAGATGGAGGTTCGGACCTCGTCTTGGATCGCAATCCATGAGGGGACCTACCCAGAGGAAGGAAGATGGTTGAAATCGCGACTCAATCACGAGACGCACTGGCGCCGCACTATCGCTTGCGAGTGAATAATTATACAAACAATTACTCGTGAGAACGATTTGTCTACGAGATTCGTTCATCTTTATTAAAATGTGTTAGCCTTGTTAACAATGTTAACAACACAATCCGTTCACGAAAACATCGTCTACAAAATAAAGGATTCAAAAAAATAAATCGACCCAATGAATACTTTTTCATTGGGTCGATTTATTTTTTTGTATTAAAGTACTTATACTACTTCTACAATACAAATAAGTATTTGTAGTTGGTCAATGGGACTTATTAATATACAAATACAGTAATCAAATGGGAGAATATTTAACGTAAATGTTGTGATTTGTTGGTACTTTTAAAATCCGTGTAGATTCGCACTAAGTCCGCCCACTTTTGACCTTAAATCTCTTGAACAGAGCAGCTTTGAACCTTACGTGCAAAACGTCGAGAATTGCCTTTCATATTATTTCCAATGTTTTTGCAATATTTGTACCACTTCAACATAAAATAATAACTAACCTAACTTAGGAATTAACCAAACAAACCTAACTGAGCAAACACAAGGCACATACATAATTATTAATTATACACTTAATATTGCAATTAAATAAAAAACAATTCACATAAACTTAGTTGACGTGCTCTAAGGTCTTGTATAATATAAAAAGGCATTATTCCTTAAATATATTTGTTTATTCCTAGAATTAAATGTACTCTTTTAAACATTTCTGATGCATATTTCATGTATATTGCTTTATTCGCACGCCTGACGAATCTTGACAATTCGTTATTGTTTATTTAAAATATGATATAGTAATGTTATATCCTTTTGACCTAGAAATTTATTGATTTCTTGCAATATAAATAGGTATTAAATAGTGTCTACAATTGTATCAAAGTTATTCTAGAATCCCGATTAAATTCTCAAGTAAATCCCTTGTTGTGGAATGTCCCAAAACTTAACAATTCCAGAACAGAAAACACACGTGGGCTCTATACACTAATGTACAGGCTCGTATTACTTTTGAATTTGATGCTTTACATTAATAAATATAACATTGTATACATAATGGTTGACATATTTCAACTCATGAGCTAATTCACTAAGCATAAAATTTATCCGTAGCAATAATCGAGGGGTAGGATGGACAATCAGACGTGTCAAACGCGGGGTCGTCGAACGAAAAGAAAAGCGAAACCGCGTCAAAGCGCTAGTGCTTTAATAAATTCATTACGACGCACGCCCGTGCTCTATCGATTGCGGCCTCTTGCCCGAACGTGCCGGAGACAATCGGCGCGATGGCGCTTCTCTACGCGCCCCCGCCGAAAACGACAACATCCCTTAATTGTATCCTAGCCACCGCAGATATATACCTTAAATTAATGCACATAAAGCTTCTGTTTCACTGACTAGATAGCGGCGCATAGCCTCTTGTCGTTTCGGTCACCCGAAAAAAATAAATTTTCAAGCCAATGCCGTACGGACGGAGAAAAATGAACCGTATCTTAAGAGAATTACGATTAATATTCATATACAGCTGAAGTGACGTTTGATGCTTTTTTTATGTGAAAACTTCACGCTCTTTGTCTCTGCCTCACTGTCAAGCGTACTTGTGTTTTCCCGCGTTTTTTGTTCTAATTAGTCAGTCCCAAGCCCCTCAGCATTACGGACCTTGTGCTCGGTCCAACTTTATCTACCTATGAGCTCTTCAAAAGTAATGCTCAAGCAACAAGGCACCGAGAGAGGGCAATTAAATATGTCGTAGAAGACAAGAATAGTAACGAAAGATAAGCTTTTGTATTGAAAATATTGCTTAATATCGGGCGCTGGTTGAGTATCCTCGCAGGAATTAATTTTTATATAACATCTATTAATTTAATTTAATTTTGCGTTTAAATATATTACTATCGATGGATATGGAGATATATATTTTTTTAAAGTAACATATGTTAGACATTACAAAATAACCATAAAGGTATATCTATTGAACTTTTTATTAAAAGTTTCAGTGTTAATTAGTAAATTTCACCATTAATGCATGTATTTAAGTAAACATACATTATTCATAATTAGAGCATCCCTTCTCATTCGATCCTCGTGCGGCGAGTAGATTTAACGACGTATTTGTCTATGACGTTTATGGGTTGTTCTCGAGCGCTAAATGGAATCTAGTGTATTCGGCTTAACAGTCACAGACAATATTAAACTTGACGTTAAGTGTATATTTTTCTAACACTTTTTATTAGGTTACTATCTGTTTTTGTACATTGTAGGTATCTGTCATTTGAGTATTGACTCACTTCCAACCAAGAACACGAATAATCTGAAATAATTTACCACGCACATTAAAAACAGATAACATTAACATTAAAAACAATAAATTCGTGGTAGGCAACGCTCTTTTTTGTTATCGGAAAACTTTCAAACTCAACTGATACTACCTATGTCTTCGGTGGGTTGTTTGGCCTTCTCCCGTGGTTCACTTTACTTGGTAATCACGGCCCCGTTTCTGTTCACGCATGAACAGAAAATCCTGCAAGGCGATTGATTAAAGTTTGTACGACAAGCAGAACATAGCGTAGCACTAATAGTAGTATATATAGCACGTAGCACTAATACAATATAGTAGTATATATATATAGATATATACTACTATATTGTATATGACCGCAATTAAGGGCTGTCATAAAACATAACATTAGTAACGTAACATTGTTCAGATTGACAGCTCGTAAAACAAACGTGGTTAATTTTTGTAGGTTATATTTGTATAAATATATTTTATAACATACAAGTTTCTGTTATTAAAAAAAATTATATTATATTGCTTATTTATAGATTTATAACTATAAATCGATGTGAATGTATTGTTTCTTCTGTCATTGTTTAAGAATGTAAGATTATTCTTAAAAGATGGCAGCGGATCTTCAAGCTACAAACAGACTGCTATTTGGAAGAAAATGGGCGACGATGATCACGCACCATCAAGAATAACTTCACTATATCGTTAAGCTATTTAAAATATCAGTTTGACATGCGTCCAAATAAATGTTAAATAACTGTGATAAATTATAAAAAATACACACAAAACAAAGACTTACAATTAAGTACTTTTATTTCGCGTACTTAAGACCGCGATAAGAGAATTCCGTTAGAACTACAATTCGTTCCTGAAGTTGGCAGTTTACAATAAATTAGATTTATTTGAACGCTAATTTGCATCTTTTGGTGTGGCCGTTACTCCCTTCAGACCGCTTGGCCGGTACAAAGTGCCACGTGGTATTTTGCCCAAAGTCCGTGTCTTGCACGCGACAAAGGGTAAACAAACAAATTGCTAAACCATTCGAGGACCTACGCGCGGGCGGTATGCGCCTAGTCACCGGGTCTGGGTCCCGTCGCGTCAACCGGCGTCTCATTATCGGTGTGATGTGCGCAAGACGGTCAGGGCCGCCGACCACCGGCGGTAGTCTCGCGACACGCGGGTTCCGCAGCAATATCATCTTTTCAGGCGACTTTAAAATAGGGGGAGGTACGTTCAATTCGACTGTATTTATTTTTATGTTTTGTTACATAATAATTTCTTGTATTTACGCGATTACACATTATAAATGAAACTAATTTTACGGATGAGGTGTTGAGGTCAGCCTGTCACCTCAGTCTGTCCCGTGACCATGAACGCTGTAAAGGGTTCGAAACGTCGGGAATTAAAATTAAAAATAAACGCGATAAATCCGTAAAATTAGTTTCATTTATAATGTTTTGTTACCTCAGAACTTTCGACGGAGTGAACCGATTTTGATGATTCCTCTTTTATTTGAAAGTTGGTGCTTCTCCTGTGGCATGGAAGCACATGACCAGCTTTCAAATAAAAGATGGTCATGTGGTCCCATGGATCGCGACGTGGTCATGTGGATCTTGGGCTCCGGAGATACTTAGAGAACTAACTCCTGAAAGTCAATTATAAAATGAACACTGAGTTAGATATTTGGAGTCGGTTTTGTTTTTCGTTAGTAAAAAATGATTATTCAATAATATGAGGTGTTTTAAAAAATATTTTTAAGTAGCTTCCAAAACCGTAGTGTTCTTTTAACTGTTGTAGGACCACGCAACAGTCTTCGTTGTTGCACGAATGGGCAGGTCCGTCCGGGGTAGTACCACGACCTCACAGAAGACCGGCGTTAAATGGAAATTTTGTACTTCTGCGTTTCGTCTGGTGAGTGAGTAACCGGAGCCCGCTTTAATAAGAGGCAGGTGAACCGCCAGCTTGTTTGCAACTTTTTCACATAAAAAAAATGTTAAATTATTATGAACAATTTACAATTTATGCATACTGCAATGTTTCTAATTAAGTATTGCGTCAATTGAGAATTACCATTCTACATAAAATGTTCATTACGTAGGAGTTTTACAATATTAGCGGCAATTTGAAGTTGCCTGTGACTACCTCGTGTCTTCCAACTGGTGCGATCTCTAAAGCATCTCGCCGGACCCCAACACTCGGCACCTTCGGGATGATGACTCGACAAATCAAGGCTCTTCAATAAAACGCCTTTTATTTTAATCCATTCTCGAGCGGTTAAGTATTATTTTGACAAGTCCGTGGACGCTGACAGGTGGGCCGCCATTATGTGTGTCAAGATGGCCGCACCTCGTTACGAACACAGATGTGGATTGAGCGGGGCGCATAACTACGGAGCGTTTCAGTTTGATTCACGAATGGTTTACACTTCACAACACAATGGACGTAATAAATATTTGATGCTCGAACCTTTATTAAGCACGCTAAGGCGAGTAGGTCCAAATTAATTCAAATTTACCTTTGACATTACGACAATAACAGTGGAATTATGGTATGTTTGGTACGGCATGTGTGGTAGGGAATATTTTCAGCATTTTAATTAAGGATATGTTGCAATAGTCAGTTATTCGTCAATCCCGTAAATGAGTCTGTAAAATATACTTTTACATGAAACTTGGGCCTGATATTTTTTAAATAAAAAATGTAATTTATCATCGCGAATCTTATGATCACGATGTGTTATAGCATTATGATGACATCAATGATTATCAAAATCATTTATTTACTGTCCAAATAATAAATAATAAAAATACTCTCCAATTTTGTACCAAGCGTCTTATTGTAATAAAAAGTTTTTAGAGAAAAGTCCGAAAAATATATGTTGTTATTTGTTTGAAAAAATGGAAGTTCCATCTTTAGCGATTTACTAAAGAACTTATAACAAAACTTAAGTTTAGATATTCGAATTTCCGGATCGACTCTACAACGGCCTTATGATATCACCTTGAAGTATTATGTATACTTAACGCTGAGGTCTTGACTGATAAATACATAAGTAGGTAACTAAAGGCTCAACAACTAACTCTCCAGAGAGTCAAGATATTGACAACTCCAGAGTTATCAATAGGTATCATTAGCGACAATTTCTATCTTGTTAGCGATCTTTTGATGGATAAAAAAAATAATTTCCTGAAGCGTTTCTAACTACAATAAAGACACTACATCAGTGAACGTGTATCATCATTGGTATTCGTAACTTATGGTTTAAGTACATATTAACTGACATCAAACATCCACATACTAATTTTCAATTAAACATTGATTTGATTCAATTAATTAATTTAAATGAAACTTGTTCTAAAATAATTTTCTATTGAACATTGATTTGCCACACTTTGACCTTTGTTTCCAATGCTGTAATTGTTCCTTTTAGATCTTGCGAGCGAAGAAACAAAACGACTTTCATCCTCTCGAGCGAAAATGGCGCGCGATCTGACAGTTGAGCGCTTTGGCGGGCTTTGCGCGATTGTTGCCCACTAATGGTGCATTTGCGAAACAATAGGGAAAACACGCGATCTTGAGACACAAAGCGTATTTCCGTTTGATGTGAAACGTTGCTGTTATTTTGGATTTGTATGTTGAAATCGGTCTTTAAATGCGTATGTGTGTAATACTATATATCTATATAGGTTCACGAAGTGAGCTCCTAAATTCACATTCTTCCAATTTCAACACATTGGTACTTATGAATAACATATAGGTTGTTGATGCTTGTGGAAGATAAGTTGTTCTCTGAAGATTAATTTTATGATACCCAGTTAATCAGACGCAACATGTATCCAACATGTGCCCCGTGTAAATAACAGGCCAAGGTGCACAACTGTACGGGATGATCGATTAATTGAAAACGCACATAGAAAAACAAACACAAATAAATAGACATCTCACGGCTGTTCGAGTCCGAAACAGGCTTCAAGAAATTCATAATAACCATGCGAGTTCTGACACGATACAAAGACGACTCCATGAAGTTGATATAATGCCTTATAGACCTGCTAATGACCCCAAACTTCCAAGACAGTATCGAGTGTACATTGGCAGCACGTCTTATGCAAATGAAAATTGATCCAATGCTATTTTTTCTGATGAGTGCAGGTTTCATTTACTCACACACAGTGTTTATAGACAATCAGGGGAACGGTATCAAGCGTGTTTTTCAATATCTTCAGAGTGGCAAGAAATTAGATGTGATAAAAATCGGATCTCTGACGGCTCTCAGATAGAAAGAAGAAAGAAAGAAAGAAAATATATTTATTTGACATCACTTAAATAGTGTATATTAAAACAAACTATAAAAAAAGAACTATTGTGACGTCAAATTGGAACTCCAATTCAGCAAATTAATGAAGTCCTATTGTACCACAGCGTTGATTTTCAAATGGAGCCTAAAGTTGAAAGATACGTACCTATAGCAGATTTTAAATAATGATGCTGGCCCTTGCCAAGTGAATAAAGCTGAAATTCCATTTTTTGTCATGATAATGCGCAACCCCATAGTACTTATTTGGTCAATATTGAAGATGTTGATATTACTTGCATGGAGTGCAGGCCACCTCGTAGCCCAGATCTATATTCCCTAGAACATGTATGTGACGAGTTTGGGAGGTGTGTACAACAACGATTTCCAGCTCCAAATACCTTGCACGAGTTGAATAAGTTATATGGGCGAAATGGGGAAAAACCAAAGGATAAAAACAACAAAAAAAACTTTATTGTCAAACGATAGAAGTTTTCGAAGTTTTAGTAGTTTTTTGTATTTTTAATCAATATTAAATAATGTACTAAACGTTCAAAGTTTCACGAATCAATTTTAAATATTTAAGGAACTATGACAGTTGTTCTTAGGGACCCGTTATTTGTGCGGCTCCCTGTACATCATTTTCATATAAAAGAATTTAAATTAAATTTCAAGCAAAATTGATAAATTTTCATGTTACATTTTTAGCTTGGGAAGTTGTTCCATTTGAAGAATTTCAATATTACACGCGAAACTAATACACTAAATTACAAACATGGTTAATAATTCAAAATAATTTGCCTTTCGAAAACAAACGACCAATGTGAATTATGATAGCTGCAAACACAACCAAAGCGTCTCGTAATGAACGCAAAAAGTTGTAAAAATAAATAGAGTGGAAAAAAAGGATGAGCCCCGTGTGTCGAGGGTGTGTTCATTCAGCGTCATTAGGAAAATTACATTATGTTGTCACCTTTCACGAGGCGGCACATGCGTGTACATAATAGTAAGCCCGCGATGAATTCACATAGAAAATTTCACAGCGTTCAATGGCTTGCCACTTCAGCTCAAGGGCCGGGGGAGATTACAAAACAATGGATTTTTCCAAAATACATAATAATGCGCCACGTCAAATGGCGCTGTTGTGAGCGAGCTTAGAGGTCCGCGAACAACTGCGCAACATTTCATTGTGCGTTTGAAATAAGACCCTTCGTTCAAATAACGCTCTCGTGTACGTTTTCTACAAGTTTTTAATATATATTTTTTCGCTATCTTTATACGGGGACCGTAATTTTTAGTAATAATAAAATTTATTAAAAATTATAACGTTCTTCTTTTGTTTAATATCAAATATTCTTACGTCAGTAAGATACCTACAAAAATCCAAAAATCTGTACTCTAAAGTTCGCTAAATTTAAAGACTGTATTTGTTTTGACATGGAATACATTAATTACATACTTTACAAAATTTTAAGGATTCCATCGCTTCGAATAAGATAACGATCGGTGGCAACCTTCCATTACGGAACCCCTGACGAATTTGTTTGAATAATTGCGACACATGGGTGGATTTTCGAGATTTTTTTGGGTCCGTGCTCGAGTGGAGTGCTCGACCGCTACGCCGCTGCCGCGCGAATTATTAAAAAGTATAAAATAAAAAAATATGACGCACTCGAGAGGGCAGCCCGCCGTGAACATAACATGGTGGCTTAGTCGCCGACATGATTATATCGTGTAATTATTGATCACAATTTGTTCCACTAGATGACATTTAAAAAATCATGCCGCATATACCATGTTATGGTTTTTCTCGTTAAAATAATTTACTATTGTTTAGAATTATTGTTGAGAATATTTAATAACTAATTGTCCTTTTTAATAAAGATATAACAAAACTTGAATGATAATGGAGTCCATGGTTAGCGTAGTTTTAATATCTTTCTTCAAGTTTCTTTATTTGCTAGTAAGCTTTATTACTATATGTGGAGTAAATAATAGCATAGCTATCACAATAAACCATTAGTCAAGATAGAAAATCATTTTTAAAAATGTTTTAACAATTGCCTATTTTCAAACATTTTTAAATTAAATAAATTGAACAAAGCGAATATTATAAACTAAGACAAAATCGTGCTGGAGTGTTTTTATACATCAAGTACTGTATCACATTTTGATAGTCAGTGTACAATGGTTAACTTTGCATTTGATAATTTCAGCGACAAGTCAATACTTAAGTATAACACATTTTTGTATGACAGGTAAGGTACAATTTATGTACATACGTAATACTGCGTATATGAATTATTATTAATTAACTAATAATAGCTTTTTGAGGTCGTAAGCCGTATAAAAGTTGATAAAACATATTGTAAATGCTAAAATAGTTTTCATAAACACAAAGTATTTATTTAAATTAACAAACGAAAGTTATTAAGTTGAAGGTAATTTTTTTATTATGGATTTAAAACATAATGTATTAGACTACAAACTTTATTGACATGGTTATTCAGTTGAGTTATAAAACAATTGCTGCAATAAATAATCGTAAGCAAGGAATCCGATACGTTCAAATACTTCAATAATTATCCAATACCCATAATTAAAGAAGACTGCGCAATATAATAAATAACAAACCACAATGAAAAGCTATTAAAAACCAGTAGCAGTAAACAATAAGGTGTCCAATGAATTAACTCTCCCTCGACGATAAAATCTAACCAACCGCACGACAAAAGAATTAGTCAAAATAATACAAAAAAAATGTTACACAATAGCTTTCGAAGCGAGCTGTGGGTGAAATTGTTACTAAAGTGTAGCAACATCTGTCCAAAGGGGATAATGATTAAGAACATAGAGCCTAAATCGCAATTTAGGATTTTGAAATATACACCCCAACTACTGAGCATTACAGCTTACGTTACATTGTATGGGAATTTACACAAGCCGTTTTAGCTTTCGGCGCTTTCGATTTAACGCCATTACTGTCAAATTGTGAGCCAATCAGGGCGGCGCGTAGCGGACCAATCAACGGACGCGCTTGTGCGTGCACCGAATGCAAAATTTGGGCGGAAACTAGAACAATTCGGTTGAGGTTAATTTTTTGTTCACTTTCGTTATTGTAGGCGCGCGTGGGGCAATTTATTGCCCGCTCATTATCTGCAGACTCGGACTGAAGCTTTAAGTTTTTAATTGTGCCCATTAGTTGTAAGTTCAGCTAACAACGCTCAGTTAAATGTTCGACCTTGTTCACGAAAACTGGCTTTCTGTTCGTATATGTATCTTTAAATGTTATCAGAAAAACTTATCAAACTGTATGATTTTCTGATAACGTTAAACCTGCGTACGTATTAAGTCGAAGTTTTTGTTTAATATTGTTTTTGAACATGTAGAAAGAAATTAAAGTAAGACGTCAAATTAGAATAGGTCTTTAATTTTTATCTTTTCTGGGGTTGATTTCATAGTAACAGTTTTTCATGTTTCTAGAAATGAATTTTCTTCATTTAAGGTTTTCAACATCCATTTTCCGATTCTGAAAGTAGGAAAAAATAAACTATGAGACCAAAGTTTAAATAAAATATAAAGCAACTTAAATAAAAATTGATGGACTGTGTCGGAACTTAATATTTTAAAGACCGTTTATTGGTATTATGTACGTAGGTACAGTCTCTTTTTTAATGATTAATTAATTAAAGCAACCCAGAAAGTAAGCCCAATGTTAAGTGATCACCATGACCACATTTGCAACATCGAAAATACCTATATAAAACTATACAACAACATTTACACTCTCTGTACGTATAATATGGATGATAATATCATTTTAAATTAATTACTTATATTTCAAAGTTCAAAAGTAGCTTTTCTTTTGCAAAAAGGAACGGTTTCCTAGAGTCATTATAAACTAGCTATTACACACAACTGATCAGATATCAATGTTATAGATAAGAGGCTGAGTGTTAAACTCGGTTCCTCTTCCTTTTTTTATTCAAACGAAAACAGACAAATACTTACTCCTCTCTCTTGTTTTTAACATTTACTATGACACAGATAATAAATATCCGCTCGTAGAACGGCGAAAGGGCAACCTAGATAAAAAATTCATCGCCAAAAAGGCCCAATGCCGTCGCTCTTTTACGTAAACAAGTACTGGCAAGTGTCCAAAAGACGAGAGCATTGGAGATCGGGGATTTTAATCGAGTGGAGAGCCCGCGGATCGCTGCGCGGCGCACCGTTCCAGAACGTTCCTGTCATATCCCAGTACTAGGCCTGCTTGGTTGAGAATCGTTCCCGTTGCCAGCCTAAACTACCTCTATATTATATTCTGCGCACCAGCTAGACCTGGAAACTTTCGATATGTATGAGTGAATTATTAAGTACTTCTGATCTGCATTTTTGTTCGTGTTTGTATATCTTAAATACATAGGATAATGTTAACACAACCCCTACGTAATGTTTTAGTAACATTAGTTGAGAAAGAAGAATATCATCCCCAATATAGCCGCTAACATCCGACGGTTGTAGCAAAAACACGAAAACAAGAAAAAAAAAAATCAGCTTTCTTTTATTAAGACAATGAACTCAATTCAATTACCCATACGTCTTATTCTTCGTTCGATTTAAAACAATATTTTAATACTGTGGTTCAATATCATTGTCTTCGTAGCTCTAGTAGCGCCATCTCTGAGTGGAAATTTTAACCACTGCATGAAAGACATGCGCATCCGTTATACGAAACGTTTATTAACTGGCATTATTTTATTTACTTTACTTTTCTTACACACAAATATTATTTCAATAGAAAGATGCCCAGATTCGGAACATTTATGTGTCATATCAGCAGTCGAACCCACGACCCAACCACAATGTCTATTTTTTGGCAAATCTTTCAGACTGAACCTCGCAACAGCAGGAATTTAAACGAGACAAAAGGATTTTAAGCGGATTCTAGCGATGAAATTAACTTTAGAATTGATTTACCGTTACGTAAGGTTAACAAAAACAAAACGGACTTCAGTATCTAGGTATACACTTTCTATTTGATTTCGGGAAGTTCCGTTATGTATCTCCGTAGTCGAGGTCGAATATAACAAACATAAAAAAGCATACAACTTTAAGAACCTCTTTTTTCAAATCGGTTGAAAACGGATGTCCTACAAATGCGGCGTGGGTGTCATGCCGACGAGTTTCCATTTAAGAATTCTTAAAACGGGAAATATCATGTTCTGTACCCGGTACATGGCTACAAGGTTATTCGTCATATCGACCCGTCACGCATTCCTAGGCTCTTCCAGAGAGCTTAGAGTGGATGTTTAGTTACTTTTGAGTTTCGCGTCGGGGCCCACTCTGATTGGCAACGCATATGCAACCCCACGGTTGTTGTAAATGTCCTTGCGCGGCGGCGATCACTTGAGTCGAGTGAATGCTCGGTTGTGACCTTCTCACCAAAAGGAAACTACGTATCAATTATTGTTCAAAATCTTATTTGAGCATCGCAAAGATTTTTCTTATCTTTAATAGCTGAGCTCGGATTGTCTACTCAGGCCGTAAAGTATTTATAGTTTTACGTTTAGTCTGGTAACGCTATCTGGTTCCACAATCTTGACTCTCCGCATCTCTGCTACCTCACGATTGTCGCGAACGTCCATAGGTGGCATTAATCTTAACATCTCGTGGACTGGGCGCTCGTACGCCGCCTTTTGTCAATGAAACAAACAATGCCGCACTCACAGTCTCACGTTCGAAGCGACGAACGCATAATTAATTGAGAATCAAACAGGCGGAACGTCGACAGTGTCGGAACTTATTAGGGCAACTTCCCAAGCGGGCCGCCTTGCGCTTTCCCACCGATACGGGAATTGCTCATTCACGCCCAGATGGGCGCAGTCAAACGTCATCGGACACTCGAGACCGAGTTGGACGCACGTCATTGCGGATTCGAATCTCGCGAGCGGCGCCAAGCGGCGAGACGCAGCGGGGGCCCATTCCGCGTCACGCGATCCCGACATGAGGCCTCGCACCCCTGCCGGCTCATTAGGGCGCGCAAGCGGCTCACAAAGACGGGCCGCGGACACATTAGGCCACGCCGAAGTGAACATTCTAGATCTTTGCCTTATGGGAAGTGAGCACGCCGCGAGTTCGCGACACTCGCGGAATCGAGCCCGCCGCGTGAGAATGCGCGGGAAACGAGCAAGGGCGGGAACAAAGGGGGTGACAATTAACGGAACGATGGATACCTTGTTAGTCGATAAGCGATTGGGGTTCGGTTCTCAATGTCGGCAATTCGGACATTGAGAACCGAGATTTGAGGATTGTTTTTTACGGTTCTCAATGTCGGCAAAAAACTAAATCAACTCTTTCTTTTTGGACGTAAGTACCTATACTAAGAACTAATATCGTAGAGTTTCTCCAAATAGTAATACCATAGTCTACACCTATTCCTTTGTGGTATAACCTCACTTAAGAGAACACGTGGGCGTAGACAATACCTTGGTAGCACCAAATAATAAATACCACTGCAAGCAAATCAACCTATAAAGAAGATCATAGGAAGCAGATTGTATTCCAGATTCTGGTTAAATGAAATAAATTCTCAGATTTTAGTAAAATATGATATTTACTCGTAAGTACTAATTTATTTAACTTCTTGTATGCAGAGTATAAAAGTACAGAAAAACACGTTTAACAATATTTAAAAAATAAATATTTATATTTATTATTCAAAAATACAATATTTTATTGATATTTAACGATTATAATACATACATACATACAAATGTAGATACATATTCATATTATAGTACATGTAATACGAGTAATTTATTTATAATACAAAAAAACGAGAAGACTGATGCGATTGATTTGGCGACTAATCCACATATTTTTTACTTTGATCTTAAACGTATAAAGATCGGAAGTCTTCCCATTTTCTAAAGGAAGTGCATTCCAATGAAGAATGGATAGAAAAATAAAGACGCCAGTGACCCGCTGATGTAGGTAGTCAATCAATAAATTAACAAATAAATATTAACAGTGTTGTTAGGTGTAAGGACAGCCCCATGAAATATAATCGAAAATCATTAGACGTTTACTCCATTCCTAAGTGCAATGTATATTGCATGCTATAAAATAAAGAACAATACATATTTTACAACGTAATTTGTTGTTTGTAAGTAAAAAAAGAGGTACTTTTTTTCGAAAGTTATCACATTTTGGCGCTAATTTTCCCATTTCTTGTAACACATAGGGCCAAAAATAAAGAAACTATTGTCATAGAAAATATTGTTCAATCATTATTTTGACATCTCCGGTAGAACAAAGATAACCGACATAGCTCAGAAGATGAAGATTAATTAAGCTGAAGTGGCGATGAAGAAATTTGAGAAGTTGATGAGCGGTTGAAAAATGGTCTCTAACAGTTGAACGCGATGAATAACCGGTAGTGATAAATGGTGGGCTGTAACGAATAACCTTGAGACCCAGTAATTTTTTGATCAATCTGTCACGATGAAGTGAAAATATACATCACTACGACTTATAATTCTTAATAGATATCTTTCATACATGTTCATTAGTGTAAAGTTATTAGTCAAACTTTGTTCTAATTCTGGTAAAAGGCCTCCACTGTGTGATGGATCCCAGTGCGTATAAGCAGATTTTACGCACGTAAAAAAAAGTAAAGTAACAGCCTATACATGTCCCACTGCTGGGCAAAAGTCTCCTCTATACAGAGGGTATCAGGACATAGTCCACCACGCGGCCCCACTGCGGATTGGCGGACTTCACATATCTTCGAAAATATTTTTTTTGTTATTATTTCGAAAATATGCAGGTTTCCTCACGATGTTTTCCTTCACCGCGGAGCACGTGATAAGTTAGCACTTAAAGATAAAAACTTCATTGGTGCCGGCACCGGGGATCGAACGCAGGTTGCTCGAGTATATATTGAATTAAAGGCGAGCGCCCGGACACTGAGCTATCACGGCTCGGACGGAGATATTACGCACGTGCGGTTAAGTATCATGTTTTTTTAGATATAAAAATTGTGCGACCGATCATATGCTAATTTTTTCTTCCACCTGGCATTATTCCTAGGTTTTGCCAGGGTTCCTCCACTTTGCACGATTTTCAACAATCATGTGCTAAACTATCCTATGAAATTGAATATTACACATAAATTTTGTGCAAGTACGGACACTAATAATTTAAAATTTTTACGGGGCTTTTTTTATTAATAACCTGTTTTTAAATAAAATTTTTATTAAAGAACATTACCGGTGTAAAAAATGGTCTTTCCAAAAGCGATCTGAGGTTATGATCAATTATTTCTGAAATCGTACTTGATAATGCTGATTTTATACCTAAACAAGTTTGTATAATTGCATCACAAAAAAAAATAACAAACAGAACAAGACCGCAGAGTTTCTTGCCGGTTCTTCTCTGTGCAGGTCTAGTTTAGAGAACCGGTGGTAGATTTTTGTTGACGTTCAATAAGAGCTTTAGTTAAGCCTATATTTAATATACTTTGACTTTGACTTAATGTTTGACTTAAATGAATTACTCTCACAGAGAAATTATAAGTGTTTGTTGATTGAAAAAATAAGAAACTGTATATTATTAAAACATGTAGAAAAAGTGTATATTAATTCAATTCAATCATTTATTCGCCAACTAGGTGTACATTACAAGAATAGGTGTTACAATTAAGAAGTGTTTACAAACTTAGTTGCCCTTTCCAGGCACTGCATTTTTTTTAATTGACTATTTTTATTTAATTAACCAAGTCGACGCCAAACACCATAAATTTTTAAATGCATTACAAAAGAGACTACCTATTTTGGCAGTTTCCTTAATAACGCAATAAAGTTTTTGCAATTAATGCAACAAACAGTGTTTAAGAAAATCGGTAGCGCACTTCCGAGCACCGCCGTTAATAACGGCCTATTAAAATCGCTTACCTGGACAAAAAAAGACTTTAAAACCCGGTTAAGTTCAACTCATTCATGGCTCGAGTGGCCTCCAGCGGTCCGCGGGGCCCCTAATTTCCTTTCATCTCGACAATTTCTGTTCGAACCTTCGATTGTCGCGCAAAAAAAGGAAATTAAAAAACTATTGATCGCACAAACGCCACTTCAGACGCCATTGTCCGCCATGTTGGAAATCGTTTTTGACAGGTGAGGCAACATGCGTCAAAATAAAGTTATTTATACGTATGAAATTGGTAGGCTCATTAAAAATGCTTTCATTGTTCTAAATTTATTAACTCAATAATTTTTAATCTGCAATTTTTGAACTACGAAAGTAGCTAATGTTGGCAATGTTGAAATTGACAATTGCATTCCTTCACAATTCCTTATTTAAGGCTAAATAACATTATGAATGTGATTCCAAGGTTATGGTTTTTTGTCACTATTGGCTAAAATCATCAAGCTTGCAAGCTTCAATGGTTTCATCAAAAAATTCATTGTGATTTCAATCAAAGCACTAAGAAATAATTTTTAACTTTATGATGATTTAACCAAAGCTGATTTTTGATCTTCTGTCTTTTTTAAAAAGTACCTAGATTAAAATATAGGGCACTAATGATTACACAGTTGGCAACATTCAGAGTTTAGTAACAATGCTTATATAACATAATTCAAAATAGTAAAGAAGAATATAAAGTAATAAATAAAACAAAGTTAAGGTGACAATTGACAATTTATTCATTCAGTATTTATGTTATATCTTCATATTGATTTCATTATAAAACAATCAACACAGTTCCACGTAAAACAAGTTCAACATTTTCGGTAAATCATATTCCTCTGACGTGTATTGACGCATAAAGTCATGACAAAAATATTTGAGAAGGTGGAAAGCTAGTAGGCGGTTCACCTGATGTTAAGTGATAAACGCCGCCCGTCGATATTTGCAACACCCGTAGGTTTGCAGATGCATTGCCATTACCCTTTAATAAAGCGAGCCCCCGCTAGCTCTATCAGAAGAAACATAAGTATAACGCTTCCAATTAACGCCGCTATTCTGTGGAGTCGTGGCACTTACCCGGACGGATCTGCCCATTCGTGCAACAGACGAAGACTGTTGTACTGCCGCAGTGAAGACTTACATTGTACGCAAAACATTGATTAGACAAATTATAACATTGGTCTGGAGCTGCATTAATTTGTAAACGTTTCGTGATGACCATGGGGAAGGGTTCAAATAAACCGTGTCTTCGCCGTCAAATTTTAAATACTTAATGTATAAATTTCTATGTGAAAAATGGTTCTTACTGAAAAACCCTAAACTATATTGCCACAGGACCCAAATAGGTAGAGAAAAAACAAAATTATAGGTCGTTAAAAACTGTAACAGTCGAGTTGATCTTAAATAGACAAAGAACCTTACTTTGATTTCATGAGAAATATAATACAAGAGCTGTCAACTATAGTATGCGTGTCGCAGTAAAGTCTTATATAACTAAGCTACAATACTTAGTGGATTGCAATATATATACACTATCCCCTTAAGTCAGGACAGTCACAGAATAACATTCGAAAATCGAATAAACGTGCGAAAGAGACTTAAAAATGTTTAGATCAAACTATCGCGAATTTTTTTTGGACTACGAGAAAATCGACCGGGTGAGGATGTCGACAGCTTAGCTCAGTGGCTAGATGGTCTGGATACGTATCCTGAAGAGAAGTATCGCGAGTACGAGTAATGGCAGCGGCGAAAAACATTGCGACCTTTCTCTAAGTTACAACATAAGTGCAAAGGCTAGCGCTGAAAATATTAAATGTAATGTTGCACAAGAGTTTAGTCGGAATTTGAAGGCAACAGGTTAAACCGGTCCCCAATGCTTAAGTACATGCTGTGTTTAATATAATTATCCAGGACGACTTAACTCGCGGCAGTCGCCTGCCGAAAAAAGGACCAAGCTTCGATCGTTTCTAAAGTAACTAATGACGTACACCTTAACGTTAAAATACTAAACGCCCGGTTTCTGAAACACTGACCGTCTTCTTCTTCTTCTAAGGCAGATGGCGGTCCCTACGATATCGCCAATGACACAATAATGGTAAAGAAAAAAAGGGTTTCAAATATCAATAATATCTTCTAGTAGTTTATTTTTGCCTAGCTTGCTTATAATGCATTGATGAAGAGAATGATTTTATGAATATTTCATATGTATATTTTTATATATAGAATATCTAAACAAATTTACATGACTATGGTTATTACCTAGAACAAAGAAAATAAGATTGTAATTATTATGCTAAGTTCACAACACTGATCGTCGAAGATGTTAACTAATCAGTTGTCAAATGGCGTTTCAAATGTCATTTGAGTTGCCAAGAGGATGGTTGAACTCTCTGAATTGATCAGAATTATCATAATGACATAACATTTGACAGCTGATTAGTTGATAACTGTGATCAGTGTTTCATAAACCGGGCGTTAGTCTTTTTAAAGATAGTGTTTCGACCCATTACAATTAACGAAAGATTAGAACATAGTCACCCTACGGGTTTTGTACTCTGGACTTTGTGTTACTGAAGACTTAGCGGTTAACACGACAGGGTCGTCAAAGTAATTATGTCACTAACAAAAACTTAGTCGATGAATCAGAATGATAAATGTGGCAAGTTATGCGTCTCTGTTTAAATAATTCTTACACAGAGACACAATTTTTTTTCATTACAAAATAATGTTCCACATTGAAGGTATGTATGCTTTTAAACTAGACGACGGAGATATTTTCATTATAAAATATTGTGTCTTTATAAATCAAACTTAAATTTCAAAAAGAACTCGTGCATAATATAGCAGAATTCTTCTTTCATTTCAACACCAACAAGTGCAGTCATGATAAATATTTTAATATTATTATGCTTTATTTGTTTACCGCACTCAGAGTGGTGCATTGGAGATTAAGTGTCATTAAACTCGAATAACCACCGAGTAGGGTAATAGAAATTTATATTAGTGACCTTCGCTAATGAGTGAATTTAATGCAAGTTAGTGCCTCTGAGTGCGGTGACAAGTTGGCTAGCGGCTTTGAAAATTAAGTATGCTATCCATAAATAATTAATAAAAAATAATCAATCGATAAACCAATTATCTTAAAAATTGTCCCCAAAAACTCGCCGGATAATGTTAAGTATTAACATCGCCAGCTCCGATATGGTTCGTTAGACTTGCCTTCTGGCAAGTGTTACCAAATAATTCACTTAACTATTGCCTTGCGGCGATGTGCAGCCGCGTCATCGCCGAAATACAAAAACTAACCCAACAGGGATAGACCGGGTCGTCAGCTAATGCGATGGCTGATCTAACGCACTATTTACAGGACGGCGTGAACCAATATATTAGCGCCACGTGGAGCCCCTTCCGGAGCCTTGATGTCTGCTGGGACCCGAAGCCGGTCTCCGCTCCCACTGGGGCCCCGCCCTTGGGTACTTTGGCGCGCCGCCATGCTGGCCTTGATGGAACCTGCTATCGCTGGTCTGGTAGCCGCCGTAGCCGGTGTGGCCGGTGTGACCTTGGGGCCGGTTGCTCTGCCCCTGCCCGTACCTCCCCTGCCCGTTCTGACTCGAGCCCCCCTGTCCGTACCCCTGGCTGTACCCCTGCCCGTTCCGCTGGCCGCGAAGGCTAGGGTTGTGCGGCACGTACCCGCCCCGCTGCGGGCCGAAGGACTGCGAGCGCTCTGCGGATAAATGGAGGCCTCTTAATAAGGTAAAATTGTACTCACGTTAATGTTGACACCTTCTGAACAAGCTGCAAAGGTATTTACAGCCAACTGTATGTTCCAATCGTACCATGAAAATTCTATCAATTAATAAAATACACTGGTATTTTTTTGGACTGGTATGATGTGAACTAAGAAAAACATAGACCTTTAAGAGTTGATAACAATTCTATGAACGTAAACCGTAATCTTCATAATGAAGTACGTACCGTTATACGACAGTTTGATATGCACGATCCAGCGTGATATTAGTGATTAATCGCTCACGAGGGTGAGTAATGTATGCCGCATTTAGTTATGCACAAACCTAACTCTTGCAAATCGAGTAGAATATTTTTAAAATAGAAGCTGTGTCGGCCTAGTGGCTGGTTTATTGTCTTGTGATTTGAACGCAGGTTTGATACCCGTGAATTGCGGCGATAAGGACATCACTAGCCTGAAGAGACGCTAATAACATTGGCTATCTTTAAGACCCGTTGATTCATAGACGGGGAACTCGAAAGGCCACAAGGTTCACACACGATGTGTCGCATCCCTAATTCGCCACTGACACCAGCCGTGTTCGAACAGCCTTAACTTGCGATTGAGTGTTTAACTGTCGGCTTTGCAACGCACCCGTTGTATAGAGATTTCGGAAGTGGCAAAATTACTGTTGTCGTGCAGTAATCGAACCTAAAACAACCCAGAAATAAGTATAACAAATAATCTAAACTTGTTTCGAATACTTATCGATAGCATCACAAATTATTTTATTCATATTTCGGAAATGAAGCGATGCATTTTGTATGTTGATGATGTTATATTATGTGGCAACTACATCATAAAAAGATGATCGGAATTTGTTCTATAATTATATTGCGAAGGTATTTAATTGTTTGTTTATGTAAAAAGTCATCTCTCAAACATTTGAATCGAATCAATTAGGCAAAAAAAAAAATTAAATCAACTAATCAATATGTACGTATCAATTATCAAGAGAGATAATAAACAGAACGGAATTGAGATTCTCTTTTTTCGAAGTCGGTCATGACAATCGCTAAACATGCCAAATACTTAATATGCCTATAATAAAATAATACAAAACATATTTATGAAAGAAACATACAATTTATAACTAAAATTTGTCTACCCGTGTAAGACAAGCATTGAAATTGGACGCGATATATTTGTCACAAGATGTTCATGAGGACGATGATCATTAAACTCAGTTGAGATTGAAGGGCTGTTCAATTTGAACCATAAATCAGTTAAACAACCATAATATACGACAAAGACTAAGCGTCAGACCTAATCCCCATACGTGTGATTTGAGCGCCTTCCATTGGCTCTATGCCCGTGCGTCTAGCATCACTCAGAAGCAGCTTAACTAGTGTCTATGGTTGAGGGACGTACCGCGTCAAAGTTCGAGCTAAAAGGATCTCAGCTTCTGAGCCACTCGCCACTCAACTCGGTATTAGAGCAAATAGAGATTTGCCGCGGCCACTCGATGGGGCTCAGCTCCTTGAGCTGCTCGCAGGGGCGCGAATCCGCTGACGGCGCGAAACTGACGATTGTTTAAGTTGATACTTAGGACGACGTTACGAGTGTGGTCAGTGTTGGAAGCATTACAAAGATATTTCACTGCTCGAGTGAAACAGGAATTTGACTCTGAACGTTTCAATTCGCAACGCGTATATTTTAAAATGCTTAAATACTTTATTTTGATTAGCCGCCGTGTTACGTGTTCTCTTAAAGAATAAAGAAAAAATCTCTTATATAATAAAGAGTAAGTTCAAAAGTTGGATACAAAATTAACGGAACGGTATATAGTCTTCGTAAGCTGATAGATTAAAGACTTGCTCAGGATATGGCACCTACATGATGGTCCAAGAGAGAAGGGAACATGGTAGCTCGTGGCAGAATCCACAGCAGGGCTCGAGTAATAATAATAAATAATAGCAACGCAGTTAACTAATCAACCTTAATCTCTTAGGTTAACCTAATAAAGCAATTTGGAATAAAAAAAATATGCGGTGCTTTTGAATGACTTCTTATGTTACCTGGCATCCAACACATTGTTAATTAAAATTAACTTACAGATTATTTCGCGTTTAATTAAGCTATACAGAGTCAATGAAAAGACCATATTTAAAAGCGAAAAATCTGTAAACGACAATGACAACCGACTTTTACGCTTCCAAACAGGGCAAGTTTCCTTCAGAGCTCTTTCTGCTAGCTTAATAAATAAGCAGAAAAATCCCTCCTTTCTTCTGACATTCAAAGCGAGGGCGCTTCGATCAGTTTTCATAAAGCTAAACCGTTAAAACTTTACAACTAAACCGGTACGAACCATCGTGTTTGTGGTCAAACAAAATTCGATTGAGAAATGGCGAAACAGCCATTACAGAATCGACGATTTTGTGAAGAACAAACACACAAAAATGCAAACACGGGCCTAAAGCGTCAAGAGGGTCACGGATTGACACGCGAGATCGCAATGCTACGAAGAGCGCTAATGCGAGAGCCTACCCCAGAAAAGCCGTAAGCGGTCCAAGCAGCAAGCGTCGTATACTTACCCGGGCTCGTAATTGCGGGCTACGACGCGTCGAGGGCATAACTAGGCTGCGCCATTAGAGGCCATTGTGCTTTGGCACCCAGCGTGGGGCGCGGAGACTTTAATTCGAACACACCACTCGATTGTGATGCTTGGCCATTAAACCGTATTATCGTTGCTTTTTTCAACGCAACCACGAATAAACTCTAATATGGACGACTATGAGACGATGATATAATTATTTGGGGCCTCACCAAATATAGAAGATAAGGCAAATATAGAATCGAAAAAGGTGGAATATGAATAATGGAAAATAATGCTAATTGGATTGCGATATTATTTTTTATTATTCGCTCCCTATCATTACACTTCAACATTGATTCTTCGATTGTTATAATTGATGAAAAGAATTATGAAAAGAAGTGTAATAACCTCTAAATTATCCTAAAACTAGACGAAACGATTTAGATAAGAGAATATAATCAGAAATAGAAAATACGTTCTGTAGAGAACAGAAGAAATTTTTTTTACTTTTATTTTGACCGATTAATATTTTAATTAGGTATTAAACCTAACAAGCGGGAATTATGGCCGTTATTCAACGAAAATTTCGTTCAGCCACCGATTTCAGCTCCTTCAAAAACCTCCGCGAGTTTTCGAATGAAAGCATCTGCCGTATGAAACCGATTACAGCGCGCGTGTAACACGTACGCGGCGCGAATGTCGAGGTAATCGCCCGAACAACATCAAAGGGCGGTGATGCGAAACGAAACTATTCACACCGGAACAGCAGCGAAACTTGGAAACGAAACGCGAACGAGACGCTTCATGAACGCGATCCGTTTGGTTGCTAGGATCTGCGTAGTTCTAATTTAGCGTCGCGACTCTAAAGCCCTCGAGCGGTGCGCCCTTTACACCTATGCGGCGAAAGTTGAAAGGGAAACAAGAACGGCAGACATAATGGGCACCTAATGGACGCCGGCGCGGCGCATTCATCGCGCGAAAAACGCGGCAAATAAGAGCAATGGCGGCCGCGTCGCGCGCCAAAATTGTGGAGGCGGGGCCGCCAGACGCGGTAATTGTAATTATTATCAGCGGTTTTTTGGCGGTCGTTTTATTCGCGTCTGCATGCTGGCTGGAGGTGGCGCGGTATGGAGGTAGAATGGCGTACGTTTCAATGTACAAGTGTGTAGTATAGTGTCATTATATTGGATCACATGTACCTAACAGTTCTTTTGGTTTTTTTTTCGTATCAGACTTGACGGACGGGTCATGGTCCTCATGTGTGTTTTCGTAACAGAAGTAAATTATTAAGTACGACTAAGTTTTTCCCTATGTATGATCTAAGTAGTGGGAAGCTGGTAAAGAATAATAAAATAAACTTGATATATTAAGGTTTGATATTATAAGATTATGGTGAAAACACACTTTCAGTGGGTTAAAGATTGCACTGTACATACATATCTCCCATTTCTGGATAAGTTTCATATGAAAATATAGGCATATAAGTTTCTACATATTTTATTTATTCATTGGCGAAACCTCTTAAGACATTCCGACTATTTCCACGCGCAGAAGTCGAATACAGATTACTCTTTATCTGTTAAAATTTCCACCTTAAGTTTTTAATTGTACTAGAGATAGACCTTCGCGAACTTCCCCACCATTCTCTTGACAAAAACCAACGCTACTTCCCATCCAGGAGACACGCACACCTCTACTCTATGATTTTCGGCGGGAAGACGTTAACAAACGCCGCGACACCATCTCAAGGACCTAGAGGCGGAGGCTGCGGGTTCGGATCCGGGGGGATAACTAGAGGCGCGACGGCGGCGCGTGCTCAAGAGGCGAAGCGCCCAGACGCAGGGCTTAGGGGTGCTCCGTTGCCTTGGAGGCGGACGGCCTGTGTTAAAGTCTTGGACGACAGGTTGTTTATCGTTATCGGATGACGTTTCATATTTACGCTGGAGGAGCTGTTTGGACCTGAAATTCGGAAAGGTAAATTACCGCGGGCTTTCTTCGGAGGATTGAGTGATAATGGTGTTGACGATTGAAGGAGCAGTTGCTATTTACGTGAGTTGAGGGCTATGTTATAAGGATAAATCTTCCTAACAAGTTTAATTTCGCATTCTATAATTTACCACTTTTCAGTCGCGGATGAATTTGTTCTTTTGATAATTTTGTTACCCTGCGCCATACTTAATAAAGTATTTTTGTATTTTTATTTAGTGTGGAAGGGATTGGGTGGTAGGTCTCATCGACCACTGTGACCTAAAGATCTAGACTTCTCTTTGGAAACATTGCCCTTTTACCGTAGGATAACATTATTCTGCGTTTTAAGGAAATTAAACATACATAAATTTCACCTGGACAAACACCCGAATCCGAAACAATCATCTATGGATCACACTAATAGTTGGCTCGT